GGATTTCTATCAATTAGGGTTCAATTTTATCAAACGAGTACCCAACACCAATGCACCGTCTTTGAAGGTTTAATATTTTTTATAGTAAATCAACAGAAAGGAAAAGACAGACCAAAACAAAATAACTTTAGCCTTTGATAAAGAAAGGAAAGAAGATGACTAACCAAAATTATTGAGAATTATAGCAATAGTATATTTATACTGTTACATAAAATTATAAACTTATAATTGTATGTGGTATTAATTAAATATAATGTATTATTAAATAAATGGATACATACAATATCATAGTGAATCCTTAAATAGAAAAAGTTAATTATATAATAACACATCATATTATAAGTTTATAATACCACGTGATATTATAATTATAACATTTTCGTTAAGAATTTTTGGATTGAAAAGACAGCTCCGTGTAAAGACTAACCATAGATTTAGGATTTCTATCAATTAGGGTTCAATTTTATCAAATGAGTACCCAACACCAATGCATCGTCTTTGAAGGTTTAATATTTTTTATAATAAATCAACAAAAAGAGTATGACGAACCAAAATTATTGAGAATTACAATAATATTATATTTATAATGTTACGTACAATTATAAACTTATAATTGCATGTGGTATTAATTAAATATAATGTAATATTAAATAAATTGATATATACAATATCATAGTGAATCCTTAAATAGAAAAAGTTAGTTATATAATAACACATCATTTATAGTAAATCAACAAAAAGGAAAAGATAAACCCAAAACAAAGTAACTTTAGCCTTTTATAAAGAAAGGAAAGAGGATGACTAACCAAAATTATTGAAAATTACAGTAATATTATATTTATAATGCTACATAAAATTATAAACTTATAATTGTATATGGTATTAATTAAATATAATGTATTATTAAATAAACGGATACATATACTATCATAGTGAATCCTTAAATAGAAAAAGTTGATTATATAATGATATATCATATTATAAGTTTATAATGCCATATGATATTATAATTATAACATTTTTGTTAAGAATTTTTGGATTGAGAAGATACCTCCTTGCAAAGACTAACCATAGATTTAGGATTGCTATCAATTAGGGTTCAATTTTATCAAATAGGTACCCAACACCAATGCACAGTCTTTGAAGGTGTAATATTTTTTATAGTAAATTAACAAAAAGGAAAAGACAAACCAAAACAAAGTAGCTCTAGCCTTTAATAAAGAAAGGAAAGAGGATGACTAACCAAAATGATTGAAAATTACAGTAATATTATATTTATAATGTTACATGTAACTACAAACCTATAATTGTATGTGGTATGAATTAAATATAACATGGTATTAATTAAATATAATGTAGTATTAAATAAATGGATACATACAATATCATAGTGAATTCTTAAATACAAAAAGTTAATTATATAATGACACATCATATTATAATTTTATAATGTCACGTTATATTTTAATTATAACATTTTCATTAAGAATTTTTGGATTGAGAAGACAGCTCCTTGCAAAGACTAACCATGGATTAGGATTTTTATCAATTATGGGTTCAATTTTAACAAACGAGTACCCAACACCAATGCACCGTCTTTGAAGGTTTAATATTTTTTATAGTAAATCAACAAAAAGGAAAAGATGAACCAAAACAAAGTAACTTTAGCCTTTGATAAGAAAAGGAAAGAGGATGACTAACCAAAATTATTAAGAATTATAGTAATATTATATTTATAATCATAAAATTATAGACTTATAACTGTATGTGGTATTAATTAAATATAACATAGTATTAAATAAATGGATAAATATAGTATCATAGTGAATCCTTAAATAGAAAAAGTTAATTATATAATAACATATCATATTATAATTTTATAATGCCACGTGATATTTTAATTATAATATATTTGTTAAGAATTTTTGGACTAAGAATACAGCTCCTTGCAAAGACTAATCATAGATTTAGGATTTTTATCAATTAGGGTTCAATTTTATCAAACGAGTACCCAACACCAATGCATTGTCTTTGAAGGTTTAATATTTTTTATAGTAAATCAACAAAAAGGAAAAAACAAACCAAAACAAAGTAACTTTAGCCTTTGATAAAGAAAGAAAAGAGGATGACTAACCAAAATTATTAAGAATTATAGTAATATAATATTTATAATACTACATAAAATTATAAACTTATAAATGTATGTGGTATTAATTAAATATAACGTAGTATTGAATAAATGAATAAATATAATATCATAGTGAATCCTTAAATAGAAAAAGTTAATTATATAATGACACATTATATTATAAATTTATAATACCATGTAATATTATAATTATAACATCTTCGTTAAGAATTTTTGGATTGAGAAGACAGCTCCTTGCAAAGACTAACAATAGATTTAGGATTTCTATCAATTAGGGTTCAATTTTATCAAACAATTAGTGTTTAAGTTCTTCTTCTTCTTCTTCTCCTTCTTCTTCCTCTTTTTTGAAAATTTAATACCATGGTTATGGGGTTTCAAATGTGAGGATGGGGTTAAACTTGGTCCTTCAGTTTTATTGTGTGTATTAATGATAAAAAAGTGTAATAAATGCATTCTTATCCTATTCCCTAAGGGCATAGGATAAAAAAATTCATTAAAATAACATATAATGGGTGGGGGACAGCTTTAATAAAGGCATAATAACTTATGTTTCTTACCAACAAACTGTTAGTCCGAATAGAAAGAGTTCGGTTTCCTTAAATAAGGTATCAAGTTTGAGTTTTGTGAATAGGGAAACAGGCACTTGGAAAGTTTCCTCCCAAATGAAATCTGACGCGACTCGTTTCCGAATTAATCGAAACTTAATATAGTTACAGGATACCGAGAGGTTAGCACCAAAAAAAAAAAAAACTTATTTTTCTTTCTTTTTCTTCTATTTAATTTTTTATAAGAAAGGTGGAGTTGGTACCGAGGAGTGACGAATCGAGGCGAGGTTACTACTTTCCATTGTTTAGGTTATTAAAAGATTCATAGTGATGGGTAGGGATGTTTTTTTGTGCGATTTGGTTTACTTTTTAATTTTTTTTATATAGTTTTTTAATTTGTACTTTTGTATAATAGAAATGCATTTTAGATTATAAATTCATATAAAAATATAAAAATTGATATTAATTTTAAGATTAATATCATATAGATAAATTTGAAAGAAAAGTGTATATCGATTCTAATTCTTAAAATAATTAAAGTTTCAACTTTAAATTAGGTTAGTTTATTTAATTAAAATTTAATTTAAATTTAAAATTTTATATTATCAAATTTCAATATTTAGATTTAAAAATTGATTATAGTAAAATATATCATCGATTTCCAAATCTAGATAACAACATTTAATAATGTAAATTTTTTGAATTTTGAATTTGGATTTCAATTTCTAAAATATTATATTTCGGATTTGTTAAGAGCACATGTTAAACTTTATTAATTACAGAATCTATAATTAATTTATATAAATTTTCATATCAAATTTATTTTTTTATAGATTTTGAGTACAAAGATTATATTTTATTTCAATTTTACATTTTATATTTTATTTTAATTGAATCTAGTATAAAAATTTATGTAGAATTAATAGAAGATACTGCATTTAATGAAATTTAACTTATGCTATAAAGGCAAAAGTTAGAAGATTCTTTATATTTATATACATTTGTTCTTGCCTTCCTAGCTTTAAACTTAATTTCCAATTCCTATAAAGGAATTTTCTCGTGAAAAAAAAAAAAAAAATTTAACAACCAAATACTTATATTGTTTCGTGTTGTTTAATTGTTTTGACGATAAAGGTAAATGCTTTTCTTAAAGTTTAATTTTTAAAAAACCAAAAAAATTATAAATGATCAATCTATTAATTAAACACAAAGTCGTAAATGTTTTGCTTTCCACACGTTAATGACTATTAACGTGTGGAAAGTAGACAATTTTGTGAGATGCGTCATAAGAATAGCTAATCCATTCATCACCCAAAGAATTTCAAAAAAACTTTCCACACGTTAATGACTATTAACATGTGGAGAGTAGAAAATTTTGTAAGATGCATCATTATCACCCAAAGAACTTCAAAAAAACTTTCCACACGTTAATGACTATTAACGTGTGGAAAGTAGAAAATTTTGTAAGATGCGTCATAAGAATGACCAATCCATTCATCACCCAAAGAATTTCAAAAAAATTTTCCACACGTTAATGACTATTAACATGTGGAAAGTAGAAACTTTTGTAAGATGCATCATTTAACATCCAAAGAACTTCAAAAAAACTTTCCACACGTTAATGACTATTAACGTGTGGAAAGTAGAAAATTTTGTAAGATGCGTCATAAGAATGGCCAACCCATTCATCACCCAAAGAATTTCAAAAAAACTTTCCACATGTTAATGACTATTAACATGTGGAAAGTAGAAAATTTTGTAAGATGCATCATTTATCACCCAAAGAACTTCAAAAAAACTTTCCACACGTTAATGACTATTAACATGTGGAAAGTAGAAAATTTTTAAGATGCATCATAAGAATGACCAATCCATTTATCACCCAAAGAACTTTGAAAACAAAAAAAATTGAAACACTTTCCTTTTCCCTTTTTTCCTTTTCCATCATTTGCTTTTCCTTTTCTATAATGTGTGTGTGAATGGTTTGAATTGGGGAGTACAATAAGAATCTCTTTTATTGGAACCATTGGTTTGCTTTTTAATTCTTTTTTTTATCTATATTGTATACGCTTGGGATTGTATGAAAAGAAAATACAAAATTTATATTAATTTTATTACCATTCTCACTTGGATAAATTTAAAGTTAAATGTTAATTTTATTTGTACAATTTTTATCTCTCAAATTTTTTATGTATTTTTTAATCCTTCAACTATGAAAAATACAATTTTTTAGTCTTTCCGTCAATTAGTTCGTTAAATCTATTCAAATGTGCATTTTTTTGTTCCTCAACTTAAAAGTTTGTAGATTAAAAATGTGTATATTTGAATAGAAGAACTAAAAAAAGTACATTTTTCATAGTTGAGGAACTAAAAAAAGCATAAAAAATTAAAAGACAAATTGTGCAAAATGTCAAAATTGAGGGATCAAAATTAACATTTAACCTAAATTTAATTGGATACTTGATAAGTTAAAAATCAATGTTTTTTTCTCAATACAAATTTAGAGCTAAAAGGTGCATTTAATTGCATGCGTTAAAAAAACCTCCTTTTAATTGACTCAGGATGAATTTACATACAACTATTACTATAATACCCCAAATCCCTTATTGGAATAGAAGTATGATTGTAATTCATATATAATAGTCATGACTAACTACTACTAATAAGTTGAGTTTATACTTGAGGCCCATAAACTTTAATATAAAGAGTTGTTAGATCAATGGCATATTTTGGCTTTGATCCTTTCAATTGACCATTATGGTTAGTGTCACGCCCCAGAACCCAAATCCAAGGACGTGGCAGACGCCGTACACTCGTGAGACGAGTCCCACAAGTGCACAAGGCTTGGAACTTATCATATCACATCTGATACCATCAAAATCTGAAGATCAAATCTTTAAAATTTATTCTGATATCATAAAATCTCCAAGTACACTCTAGCTTACAAGATCACGATCTCTAGAATCTAAATCAAGCTCGAAATAGCTAGCCTTCTAACTCGTCACTTCCTGTGGTTTCCCCGTCCTCAGTTTCATTTCCTGAAATGGTGGACAAGGAAAAACTATGAGATAAACTCAGTAAGTAAATATGGAGTGCCCCTTATCAAACTTAAAGCATGCCAACAAGTACAATCACGAAAACAGATACAGTACGGGCACGAAATAGACGTCTCCTCTATAGGTCACGGCC